CTGGTGATTTTACCGTTTTCTTTCTTATCCAAAGATTTATCAACGTTGATTGAAGCATTGTGGACAATTTTGCTGTTTTAGTCCTTGAATGTAGGCCCCTATTGAATATAAAATTGTAACATTAACTCTATTCACAAAAAAACTTTAACTCCATGTTTTGGTAAGTCGAACTGTATATTTACTCGAGTCAAACTAGATCACTTGGTCCCGATCGCAATATACATTGTGAGCACAGTCCTAACAGATCGCAATCGTTTGCGAAAGACAATCTCATGAGACCGCAAAAGCCAAAAATTTTAAGGAATACAAAACTTTTCGCTTTCGACAATAATTTCAGGTTGTCGTTTGTTCTACTATTATCATGCAATTCTCGGCGCGATAACACCTCGACCGGTACGGTAGTCATGACAACGTAAACGAAATTCCATCGTGTTCTGAAGATATACCACGCCTAGAACTGAAAGAGTTGAAAAATATATCATTTTTCTATTTCAACACAAGGCATTTACTTGGACGTAACAGTAACAATCTGTGTAAGAAAACCGACAAAGACTCGTCTATAAAATAACACTAAGCCTAGTTGTCGTAGCTGTATTTCTACACATAGTCTATGAAAGTTTAAGGCATACAACAAAGTTTTCTTAATTTGGGTGGATTTTCTTGCCAGTGAACCAAAATATCGTGAAATTAATGTTGTTGTAGTCTGTAGTATGAAAATCGTATACTGGAGTTGTGTCCCTTATAAAGGATAGAAGGAATACATAACCTGGGGGTAATTCCTCCCATGGCGTTAATAAAGTATCTGTCTGTGGGGAACGGATGAGTCGCCTTGTAGTCGGGAATTACACATTTGGACCAGCATAATTTTTGAAAGTCTTTCTAGGCTATATTCTCCGACATGAAAGAGATAGCAAGGGAAAGGCTACTTAATAAGAGGGCCGAATACAATATCTTTGAACATAGCCTTGACTTTCAGATTTTTAGAAGTAGACAAATAACCTTATTACAAATCTTCAATTCCCAAATCAACAGGTTTTTACAAACAACGAAAAAGCTTCCATTCGAAGACTCAATCAGAGATCTACGGCTCTTTACCCAATAATATTAGTTTCGCGTTGTCTGAAAATCTATTTCTAATAAAGAGTTCTCTCCCATTATGTATAATGCTCGCTTGAAGCTCAACGTTTGAGTACTTATTGAATATCTTGCGTGCAGATCTATTTTAGAATAAAAACTGGGTCAGTTTATTACTGGGATAGCCGAGCAGTCAAAATGGTGAATACGGTGTTGAGAACTGATTAATTTACCAAAATCAGCTATTATCGTAAGTTTAAATTTTCTTTCTCTTTTAAGATTTTAACAAATTGAGTGTTTTTTAACGATTTCTTCCACTGTCATTTACTTAGAGCCGGAATAAGCATAGCAACCAGCAAGTTATTGAATTACAATAAAAATGTCAACCTGACGAGAGTGGCGTATGTCAATGAAGACTGTATAGTATATGGAGTATTTTGATTGTTATTCATTATCAATAACGTTAACGGCAACTATTGATACATCTTGATATTTGATGGCCATATCTCGACCTACAATAAGTAGGTCTTATGCTTAATCCTATGTTAATGATCATGACTTGACAAATTGTCAATGCGTTTGACGTTACACTTGAATGACTTTCTTATGCAACGTTGACGCACATGACTATCGCAGTATCGGTATTGAGTCATATTTATCTTGAGAAAGACGGAAAGGTTATTTTTTATATATAGATTACAGATTATCATCTGTTTTATGAGCATGTAAACACATGACAGATAATGATTTTAAAGTTGGAGGACCAGAAAATTTTTGTCTTCAAACATTGTTGGTTTTTGTGTGGAACAAACTATACTCTGCTGCAAAAGTTAATTTTGAATTAAAGTCTGTTGCTCATGCAGTTAACTAATTTGATATTTTGTCTGATTTGATATGTAAAATGTAACATTTGATATGATGTCTGTAACAATACATCTGATTGGATACGTTGTCTGTAACATCTGATTGGATATGTTATCTGTAACATCTGATTGGATGTGCTGACTTTAAAATCTGATTGGAAATGTTGTCTGTAGCATCTGATTTGATTTGTTGTCTGTAACATCTGATTTGATTTGTTGTCTGTAACATCTGATTTGATTTTTGTCTGTGACATCTGATTTGGTACTTTTGTCTATATTGATTTGATATGTTGATATAACATCTTATTTAATATGTTATCTGTAACATCAGATTGGATGTGCTGTCTGTAACATCTGATTTGATACATTATCTGTAACATCAGATTAGATGGACTGTCTGTAACATCTGATTTGATATTTTGTCTGATTCGATATGTAAGTCTGTAATAATTCTTATGATTTGATATGTTGTCTGTAACATATGATTTGATCTGCTACTTGCAGCATATAGCCAGTGACAAATCAAATGTGCCCAACGAAGAGTCCAAATGTCCCCACTAAGGAAGATGTTCTAGTAGGTGAAAATTCACGCTTTTAATGATTATATTTAGAAAAGATTAGAGTGTGTTCTGTATGAGTGATTCTGTGTCAAGAGAAACTAGAGATGTAGGATAAGTGTTTGTTTTTGGTGTATCAAATGAATATAAAAGAAACCACAGAGCTTGAATAGTGCGAAATAATATTGGTCTCTAAAGATTTAGATAATAATAACTAGCTTGACACGTGTATGACCTATTTTGAAACTCTATTTTTATATATCGTGGGTGACTGCTTGAAACCTCGTATATGCCATATTTGGTCATTTTGACTTTTTTGTACCGTTCGAAAGCTTGTTAAAGCGCGGATCTTATGATCAAAGCCTCGTATTGATTGATTGTAAATAACTCAAAAAGCACTAATTAAATAACATGTATATAAACAGTCAGATTTAAAACCTCGTAAAATATATTATTTTACGAGGTTCAATGTTCCTTTTCTGCGGAAGAAAATGAAAAACCTCGTATACTGTATTAATATACGAGTTTTTGGTTGAATAGGCCGTAGAACTCAATTTGTTATACAAGGTTTATATTTTCATAGAATTAAAACCACGTATAGCGGTAAAAAAAATAATAAAAAAGTTTTTTTTGCGTTTTTCTCGAAAAGTAATTCTACGTCATATATCGTTATACGAGGTTTCAAGCGGTCACCCACGATATATTGTTAAAGAATACAAGATGAAAATGATAAGGCAACCTCAACCTAGGAAGTGTGTCTTGATATCCTTAATCCATCATAAATAATGTATCAACCAGATAGATATAAATCAATATTTCACAAGATTGCAAAAACAATAGAACAGATTTGAAGCTTTGTCTATGTTATTCTGCCATGCAGTGTACAATGAGGGCAATTTTGCCAGAACAGCTGCATTAGCCTGCTCTTTTTCTACTTCCAACTGTTGAGGGATCTTTAACATGCACAGGGCCTCAGTTTATTGTCCCATCCAAATGACTAACTGACTTTGCCATGTCTTCCCTTCTTACCTGCATCACTGATAGGGTGAAACCGGGTTGAAAATTCCGAAGGTATTATTTCGACCTATGCCAGGATTGAACCTGGACCTTCAGGTTAGTGAGCAAGCGTCTAACTCACTGAGCCATCGCGGCTTTCTTGCTGAATTGGAGGCTTGATCATTTAGACTCAGTTTCTGATAAAAACATACATCAAAATAAGTCAACATGAATATCCAAAAATTGATTTGATTTTAGATTTTAAAAAATACTTATGTATCAGAATTCAAAAAGCTATCATTGCCAAGGCATCAGATAGTTGTTTCAAGTATGACAATACACCAAAAACCTACATGTTACAACCTGTGCATGTAAAAGTTTCTTTGACAATTCAAAATTAATGAAAAGGGGGGGAAAGGAAATGTCATTAAGTTTAAGCTGCTCATATCCCTTTCTGCATATGGTTTGCCAGTATTTTAGAAAGCCTTTAAGTTTAATGAAATTGAACTGCAAAACCCAAAATCCACAACAACATATATTGGCAAAACATTGGTAACAGCTAATGAACTTTTCATAAGAGGAAGTATATCAATTATAAATGAAGAAATATTTCATAATGATAAGTGGTATCAGGTGTCTAGAAGAGTAAGCAAACCCCACAGTGTTAACGTAAAATTCTGGAAATATCTGGTGGCAACTGGACATACAATTCTTAAGCAAAGATGGCAAATTTTGTAGACAATCAAATGCCTCTGAAATTTTTTACCGGGTATATGTTATGTACTGATGATATCCAATGTCAATCTGACTTGTTAATATTTGAATGACCTACTCATTTTTTATACTTTACAATCTAACAGGAGATAAGTAGAAATTTTAAGCCTGAGGGAAAATTTTTATTAACACTGCAAGGGAAACGTCACTGACATATTTAGTCAATTTTCATTCAAGAGGGATCTTAACATTAAAAGTGGCATTGTGGGTTAGATTTAAACTATTAGGCTGTAAGTTAATTATTTTTCCCATTGAACACAAATCTTTGATCTTTGAAACTTTTCATGAGATCTGATATTGGTTATTATGGTGTTCAACAAAGAAAAAAAGAACAGAATTGAAAAAAAGTAAAGGATTTTGAGCTAGACTAAGCAAGGTTGTATTAAGATCTAACAAGTTGTGTTGTTTTAGAAAGTTTGCTTCCAGTAATCCTAGGTATATTTCATTTTCACCACAGCAAAAACGGAACAGAATTGTAAGAAACTAAAGAATTTTGAATTGGACTAAGGTTTTATTAAGATCCAACAAATTGTGTTGTGGATAGTTTGTTTCTAGTTGGTGAAGCAAATGTAATGTGATGTCAAATAAGAATAACCTCATTCGCCTTACGCCATATTTCTTGAAAACAATGTATGTGACAGATTATATTAATCACACTTAGTGTTCAAAAGGATTAATAATGAATTTGCTTTATTATTTCAGAAATGACAAAATGGAGTCTACAAATATTGAGATGATGGAGACTAGTGATGTACCTGTGGGTGTAGCTGATGTGTCAATCACAGATAGCAAGCCCAACCCACCTGCACCCACAAACACTGCCAGTATGTTACCACCATGTAGAGTGTGTGGAGAAAAGGCTTCAGGATTCCATTATGGTGCCAATACTTGTGAAGCTTGTAAGGTAGGTTCTCTTCTAGAAAGACATTTTCCGTCTGACGAATCTTAACCCTATAACACACGGCCACTTTTTACAAATTTTGGAAATGACTGTAAATTTTGTGTTTTCATCTTGATACACATTTGTGATTTTGATATCATCAAAATATCTGTCTTTGAAATGACCTTTAATTTTTGTGTTTTTTATTTATATTTCTAGGGATTTTTCCGACGTAGTTTAAAGAAAAAGGGAGAATATAAATGTGTGAATAATAAAGATTGTAATATTGGACCAGGGAAAAGAAATGGTTGCCCGAAATGTAGATATAAGATATGTTTGGATATTGGTATGAGTAAAGAAGGCAAGTATAATGATAGTATATGAGGGGACAAGGTTTGCAGGTATGAATGTAATGCACGGTTTTGTCTCTATGGTCAGTTTTACGCTGACCACTGGTCAATTGTCCAGGTAAGTTATCAGTCAGATGCCAAACTTAAGGGGACTAATTTTTCAAGAGCCATTTTAAGGAGACCAATTATGGTCACACATTTATGTGTTTAATTTTTTTTATATTTTACCATTTCAGCTATAAAAACAGGAAGATATACCCATCAAAAGAGAACAGAAAATATTCTAGAGATTAAAGAACTGCAAAACAGGTCTAAAAACATGACCGGCGCCATTGCAGAATCTATAGACAGTGCTACACCAGTGCCATTTGATATATCAGGAACCAACTCATTTACAAATCTGGACTCATCAGCCTCCACCAATATTTCTAGTGTGAATGTAGATAGTCAAAATGAGGAAGTGAAAATTTCAACTTTTGCTCAAAATTTTTTCAAAACCATTCATTGTCCTGATTATTTATTAGGGGATGATAATAATCTGAGATTATTGTCAGAAATAGTGTTAGAAGATTCCGAAACTACTTTCAGAGAGACTAATGTCAGCCCGACAATTTTTGGGAACAAAAGCGCCAGTCCTGCAAGTTCCAAAAGTGTCAGTCCAATAAGTGCCACTAGTTCAGGAAGTGAAAACAGTGCCAGTGAATTTGAAGACATTGAAAGACTTGAAGCAGTCATTGAGACATTGAAAAACGTTCATCTGGAACATGTCAAATGTTTGTCTCTCACCAGACAAGAGGATATTGAGTCTAAACAAAGTGAATATTGGGTGAGTATTTTCTCTGTTGAAAAAAGAATCCAGGTTCCCGTGTCACAAGAAAATTAACCCATTTGATATTTGACATTTTTACTATGAAGAGATATGTAAAACATAAACACATGCAAAACATGTATTTCTATATTACTCTACAATTGATGTATTGAGCATTATTTTAACAGTGGTATTTCTATATTGCTCTACAATTGATGTATTGAGCATTATTTTAACAGTGGTATTTCTATATTGCTCTACAATTGATGTATTGAGCATTATTTTAACAGTGGTATTTCTATATTGCTCTACAATTGATGTATTGAGCATTATTTTAACAGTGGTATTTCTATATTGCTCTACAATTGTTGTATTGAGCATTATTTTAACAGTGGTATTTCTATATTGCTCTACAATTGATGTATTGAGCATTATTTTAACAGTGGTATTTCTATATTGCTCTACAATTGTTGTATTGAGCACTATTTTAACAGTGGTATTTCTATATCGCTCTACAATTGATGTATTGAGCATTATTTTAACAGTGGTATTTCTATATTGCTCTACATGTGTCCAGGTTATCTTGTCAGTTTTGTTTTGTGAAATTTGTTGGATGCCTACCAATCTTTTATCATCTCGATCCTTAACACTATAGACAACTTCAGTGTTACAGGACCAATTTTAATGGAACAATTTTTCTGAACAGTTGTAAGCTTGTAAATCTGTTGACACTTTTTGAAAGAATCTTTACCTCATAAGAACTTGTATGTGCTAATTTTTCTATAATTGAGCATTGAATGCTCACGTTAGAGAAGTAAAGAGCGCTATACTAAGTTTGATAATCTTAATCTTTATCTTGGATAAATAATTGTATAATTTTCCATATTCTTTTGCAGCCTCCAGATTTGAGTTTTTTCTACTGGGGCATTATAAAGGACACAATAGTAAACTGATGACAATGTTGACACCAGCTGGACAGTGTGTTTGTGCTGAGGAAGTCACTCAATTTTTACCACCTGAATTCCTACATAAATGCTTTCGATTTTCCGACTCCATGAAGAAATTAGCTCCTACATTTGAAGAAGTAGTCATACTGAAAGCCATTGTTTTACTCTTTAGAGGTAAGCTTTTATAACTATTGTTTTTTAATCCTTTAGCAAACTCATTCTTTCAAAATCAAGAAAATAACTTTGTTGAAGATTCTCAAATTCTTCATGTTTATTTCAAAACTTTGATTAATTTTGTTTCTTTTTATTTTGGATATTTTTTGCTTCATTGTAATCTAACAAGTTTTTCTAGCCCCATTCTAATGGTGCTAGTGTAACTTATCAAAGATTGTTGTGAGAAACCCTGTGCTTGATAAAATAAATGATGAATTGTGGGATAGCAAAACTCAAAGTAGAGCAATATGACTTGTTTGGTTTCGTGAAGAATTGTTATCCAGTATAAATTCACCTGAACATGATTCAAGGTACAATTTCTGCAGATCGTGGATGGTGATAAAAGTAACCTGCAGAAAACAACCAAAGAAATAAAACATCAAACATCAACATTTTGATTTGAATTATTAAATTTTTTTTCTTTAATTTTTTGTATAAGCTTTTCCTTTATATTTTCAGACCGGTGTGAATTGTTAGAGCCAGAGAAAGTGGAGAAAATACAGTGGCAGCTGATTCAGTGTTTGATGTACACAGTAAAGAAACATCGTCCAGACCAACCTTGTTATTTTACTAAATATATGGACAGACTTATGGAAATTCGTTCTTTAACAGAATTGAATTATAAATTTAGTAAAAATCTTCTCGTGTGGCCATTTATTCAGAAAAGTCATTTATTATTTGAAATTTTGTCCTTCTAGTGAAGAATTAAGTATCAAAAATCAGGTGTCCAGTGATTTTAGACTTAGGGTGTAACATAGTGCTGACACAATAAATCAGTGAATTGATGAATCGCGTTTCAATATGACATGATACACGTATCATATCACAGGGTCGTGTATTGATACTAGACTTACCTCTCATTCCATAAAAAAAGTACGATTCTTGATTGAGTTGGTGATTGGAATTTTTTCAATAATTTGACAGAAATTGTTGGAAACTATTTATAAGACTGTAGACGCTAACCACTCGTCTCAGCTACAATACCAAATTTCACAGTTATACAGTTACATTATTAATATATCTCACAATACGTATTGTATCACGGCCCTTGTATAGCGAAACGTAGCGTATGTTGGCATGATTGGTGATATCCAACGCTAGTGTAAAATGCAAGATATTTAATGCATACCATGCATATCTTCAATTTTATGAACTTGACCGTAGCTTTTGTGAGCACAAAACTCCTGTTTATGGCATTAAACACAGCCATGACAGATTACAAAATGTAGAGTTTGTGTGTTGTGTATAAGTCATTTTATTTTACTTGTGTATAGTCGCTTAAAGATTGGCTTCATTTGATACAAATAGTCCACTTTATTTATAGGTAGTGTCCGTTTTTTTTCGTTGTTAATTTTTTTTTTACCTTTAAAAAAACCAGACAGCTGTTCTGATGGAAACTATCTTTAGCGTGAATTTAGTTTAATCACATGTATTTATGTGGTTAGCACATGTATTTATGTGGTAAGCACATGTATTTTTGTGGTAAGAAGCAGACAAATGCTTTTGACCACCAATAATGTAGTTGTCTCCCTTATATTAAAGAAATTCTAGTGCAAAATTTTATCATATGAGAATTTTCATTGTAGAAAATCACCAACGTCAAAATTGTACTTTACGATATATGGATATAGGTGTCTGAATAATTACTTAATTTTCATTTTGACTCTGAAACAGGATATCTGTCCCATCTTACATGTCTACAATGTTTTGTATCACATGTATACAGCAGCTCTCTGTTACTGGTATCTACTATCTTTTCAATGATATTATTTCAGTTACCCAGTATCTGTTGTATATAATTACAATGTCTTCTCTATATGATTACTGTTATTTGTTCTACACATTACATTTGTCTGCTCTATATTATCTGTTCTCTATTAATTCAGTTGATTGCTGTTATCTGTTCTATATTATTACAGTTCTGTATTATTACAGTTGTCTTCGCTATATAATAACTATTCTCTGTTATTACAGTTGTCTTTACCGCTGTTTGCTCCATATTTTACAGCAGCTCTCTGTTCTCTATTATTACAATTCTCTGTTATTTATTACCAAACATTTTTCTTTTCTATATTATTACAGTTATATATTATGACAATTATCTGTTCGATATTATAACTGTTATCTGTTCTTTATTATAACAGTTGTCTATTCTATATTATTACAGTTTTCTATTCTATATTATTACTGTTCTCTGTTCTATATTATTACAGTTTTCTGTTCTATATTATTACTGTTCTCTGTTCTATATTATTACAGTTTTCTGTTCTATATTATTACTGTTCTCTGTTCTTTATTATTACAGTTTTCTGTTCTATATTATTACTGTTCTCTGTTCTTTATTATTACAGTTTTCTATTCTTTATTATTACAGTTTTCTATTCTTTATTATTACAGTTTTCTATTCTATATTATTAGTCTTCTGTTCTATATTATTACAGTTGTGTGTTCTATATTTTTTTACAGTTGTCTGTTCTATATTATTACAGTTGTCTGTTCTATATTATTACAGTTGTCTGTTCTATATTATTACAGTTGTTCTATATTATTACAGTTGTCTGTTCTATATTATTACAGTTGTCTGTTCGATTCTATATTATTATAGTTATCTTCACAGTTTTCTATTCAATATTATTATTGTTCTCTGTTCTTTATTATTACAGTCTTCTGTTCGATATTATAACAGTTCTCTGTTCTTTATTATTACAGTCTTCTGTTCTATATTATTACAGTTCTCTGTTCTTTATTATTACAGTCTTCTGTTCTATATTATAACAGTTCTCTGTTCTTTATTATTACAGTTATCTATTTATATATACTCTATTATATACATGTGAAAACTGTTATAATTACAGATACTGTTCTTTTCTTATTCATAAAAATTGAATTCAATGCAGTTAAAATTGAAATCCAAACCATCAACCAACATATTGCTGCATGACCTGTTTTACACCTTTGAGACTTTAATACCCTAAACTCGAATCATGAAGTCCCAATGCAGCTACTTAAATATAATGTCTTTAACTCAAGTATGTATAATTGTAACAGCAATATGTTCATGAATAG